AATTTGAATTCATTTTTCCCACAAAAACATATAAAACTGAAACTAAGATTCAATACTTCAATCATATCATAGACTTGAAGTGGGTGGAATCAAATAGTAAATCATATTATAACATGTACATACACTTCATAAAATAAGCTTACATATACACTCTTGAAGGCAAATGCAGTGATAATTAAAATTCGTCCATAAATGTGTTACATATCTCTAAAACCTATGAATACTGAGTGTAAATGAAATAAAATGTCACACACCCTGAACTCCAAATAATATAGCTTATAGCGTATGATATTAACGTTATGTGTTGTCACTTGGCACAGCTCAGGTATATATTGTGCATAATTATGTTGCCAACGCTAGGGTTCAAAGGGTAAAAAAGATGCTACTTTAATATGAATAATTCAGCTGTATCAGCAAATCTTTTCAAATCAGCATGTTCTTAGAAGCATTAAAACAAAAACCAATACCTTAAAAATTCCTAAGGATCACATCCTACACCTCTTTAGTCTATATAAACCTGTATAGATGATTCTCAAGGTTACTAATGATCAACGCTCTCTCAACATCTATTATAATATTGATCATTACAAGACAAGTTCAATAAGGTTTTTCCAATAAGTTATTAGTATGTTTTTAGAGAGAAAATAATCAAGTTGACAACATTCCATTACTGAATCAATTTCTCTACAAACAATATCACTCTGTTGTTATCTCAGGTAAAATATAACTGGATGTTATAATAGACATTTTATCTTCACAATGGTCAAGGTATTGCTGACTTCATCTTATACCTTGACTGCTATAGCTACCTTTCTGGTATCAAAGGAGTTTACAAAGGAAGCGTTATGGTTGGATTGTATAAGTACAGCCAATCAGAGACCTTGACAGAAAGTCTGTAAATAAGAAGCCATAATTCTTACACGGCTATGATTGGCTGAATTTGCTAGCGTACAATCCAATCAAGTTGCTGCATTCCATGATAGTAGAAAGGTTGCTATTGCAGTCAAGGTATAAGGTTAAGTTCATAAAAGCTTGACATTGTGAAGATGATGACATTGTTGCATGTCAGCTTTTCTTTTGTACAGGGAAATCTCAATGATAGAGAATATTGAATAGCCTCCTCAAGATTGTTTCTAACATCAGTTTAACAAATAATTTTATTTTCTGAGACTTTAATATTGGAATTTATCAGAATTAGGTATACGCTTAATCTCTAACTAAAAATAAAACTATTAATAACTTGGAGATTGTATTGCTGGAGATTGTTTTGCCTTTTTCTGAATCACTACTACCTTGTATGAGATAATTCATGAAATGCCACCTTACCCACTACTGCCGAATAGGGCAATATTTGTTATATATTTTTTTCACTGGTGCCAATGAGAACATATACCCGTCAATGTTAGAGGTATAAACTTAATACCAATGCCCACTTACCGTAACGATGGGCAGCATATAGATGGGCAGGGTACTCGGGCCCAGCATTCTATAGAAGCATAGTACAGACGTATAATTGTATATTGATGACAGACAAATCATATACTTTTGTAACCTATTGAAACCAAGTAAGAACGATCACAACGTGAGATTCAAAGGTTGTGTTAAAGACTGGTCATGAAGATACCCACGGACCCACCTACTTCTATGTAACCTTACTCTATATGTACCTTTAACTACAGAATATTATATATGAATGAAGTTCACAGGTCTATAATTCTACAGAGTCTTGATAGTGTTTTTACTTACATGTATGTATACTCCAATCATGTCTCTCTATTTAAACAAACAGAAAATCATTGATTTTGATAAATAATTCATAAGACATTCCCGTGATAAGTTCTGAACATTGATAATCATACTTTTAATAAAGATAGAATTTCCAAGAATAATTTCATTCATCTAGTCATGATCTTTACAAACAAGTGAAGTCAGAATGACATAAGATTCCTGTGAATCTAAGAGATGTTTGGATGGATGTCAAGTTAGTCATCAAAGACATAGTAATTGAGCCATTGATGCCAAATATTGAGAGACAAGAATATGATTATTATTCTTTACAATATACAAAATACCATATCACAATGATATCATAATTCTTATCACAATTAAACACTTTTAAAAGAAAAGATTCATCATACTAGAACTGAATGACAATTGTATAATTCCTTCAAAAACACTCACTTTCTATTTCTATTTCTATGTGTCTCAAGAAAAGATGAGTCGTCATTTAAACTTTCAAACAAGGATAATTCTGGACACTTATGGATTTGAAGGCTTAAATTTTGATGGTGAGCAGTGAACATTTTAATGATAAGCTTAGTTAAGAACTTGTTAAAATTATAGAACAATATCTACTTATGTTGTGCATCTAATTTCCATAAATATTTTGGGACCATACTTTTGGAATTCGGAGGTTTTTGTGTGATGGAAATGATGTTAAAAGAATCAGAAAAATTTCCAAAAAATCTTGGGATTTCATATCAATCATGTCTGTTACAAAATCTTCTGCAAATTCCTACTTCTATACGATTATTTGGAGGATTAAGACTGACTAGACAACTGACTTGATATTTTTTTTTAGAAAGGCATACCGTACCTTGAATGATGGAAATCAATATGAACACAATAACTATTAACAGAATATAAGAGCTAAATGAACATGCCAGCTAAGATAAAAGGAAACGATTAAAGAATTTAGAAGAGAGTGAGATAAAGAGAAGAGTTATGTCAATAATAACATCACAGTATTTGTACTAAGTGGATATTTGTACTGAATATTTTAAATAGTATTAGTATTTATGTTTAGTTTACCATCACACTCTGTCAACATTATCTTCTAAAACCTGAATGTTGGGGTTGTACAGTTACATCAAGGCCAACTGCCAACCTATTCAATATCATTGACAAATATTTTATTTCACTGATAATATTTTTGAATGATCTAGCCATCAGAACTTATCTACCTGATTGACTTTGTCAGCTTGTTGACTTTGATTAATTTAGAGTGTTATGCAAAATTCTCCATATGATTGGTCCTAAATACAATTTTGAAACAGTTTACCCTTCATAAAAGATAACCTGCTACTATCTCATGAGTTGTTTTTATAATTTACAGCAAACATTAAGAACATGTTGAATAAGATTATATGACACGTAAAAACAGATGATGAGAAATAGATGTAAATTATCCTGAATAGATCCAAAGATTGAATACAACTCATAAATGATTAAATAATATATTAACAAGTAGCAAACTACATAATAGAAGAATGCCTATCATAATGAAAGTGTAATTTACACTTATGCAATATCACTCAACCATAACCAAAATTTACTTTTATTCAAACTTATAACTGCTCAAATTCTATTTACAAAAAGATATTGAAGTAGTGTATAAAGCACTGTATAATCATTTTTAAAAGTACTGGTAAGAACTATAAATAGAAAGCTTTTCAAAACAAATAACTGACCTTTCAAATAGGAAATGGAAAACCCTTTAAAAATGACTGAACTCAATATTCAACTATGATTTCAGACAAAAAGCTTTAGTCAAGATCAAGGTTTTCTCTTATGGCTCTCAGAATCTAATGTTTTCTTACTTTTTTATTTATTTACTTACTTATTAGATAAAAAAATCAATTAAAAACTTCAAATAAGTGATGAGTGACATACCTGAAATTCATTGAAGCAATGAACCATGGAAGTCATTCAATAACATTAGATATTGGCTGACAACAAATCCTGTTTGGATTACAATTGAATTTATAAGTAATATGTTGTATTGTGGTCAACGGTACTACTCTGAACTCAATGAATCATGAGACAGAGAAAAATTTTAAGATGACACTGGCTTTAACAGTGTCAATTTTATATCAAAATAAACATCAAGAAATTTGTCTTCATAGTGTAGTATAACCATATTATATTAATATCACTGAATTTTAGGTTATTATTTAGTGAGCCTTCCAATTGTATAGAAGTCCAAAGTCACAAGAAGTTAAAGCTGTGTACATAACATGTGAAGGGATGTAAACCCTTACCATTTTTACTTATCTGTTACTGGTACTATATGATAATTGATATGTAATTATGCCTCATATTTCAAAATATTAAATTAAACTCACCAAATCTTTAGCTTATTTAACATTAATCCATGATATTCCAATTATTTAGACTTATAGTAACACTCCACACTTGATGTTATATTTCTGAAATAAATAATTTTCCATATTATATTTCACTTTCTCTGTCAAATTCTGGCAACTTTCTTTTATCTCAAGACTGACAACCTAAGACGACCAAACATTTATAAGGCTTTCACATGACTTGAAAGAAGTTCAGAAAAACTATTCTAGTTAGAGAAAAGTTTCAATCAAACACCTTTTACTAGTTTCAGTCTCCTTTCACTACAAGCTACAGTCTGGAAGAAGTCAGTGTATCGTTCAAACTGTCAAACAAACAATCAATCAACAAACATTTTAACATTTTTGGTATATTGATGAACTAGTCAATATCATCTTATTTCATACAATAACTGACCCAGAGTTTAAAATCCTAAATATAAGAATTGTCTGGTCACAACTGAACCTTTGAAAGGAACATTTTATCTTAAATTTACCACAAAAGTCTTCAATATTTACCTATTTATCTGCAGTGAAGGAAAATTTCTTGACTGACTTACAGGTTCCGTACAAATTAATTCATATGACAAATGAAACGAAGTTATTTTAAGTTTTGATTCCTTTAGGAAAAAATTATCTATTTTAACAAAAGTATTGATTTAAAAAGAAATCATTAAAACTGTTATATCAAAGAACCAGAATTAATGTTGAAAATAATTTCGTACACAAATACAAAATAGTGTCGAATATTTAAATTCCAATGTTGAAAACAAACACGAAACGGTACAGGCTATTTTGTAAGGAGAAGTATAAGGGAAAATGACCTGTACCAGCCTATATACAATCGTTGACCCCGCGTGGTATCTGCGCTTCCTTTCAATGGCTGAAAATATACCAACGGGTTGGGAAAAGCGAACAAGTCGTTCTTCTGGTAATTAGTAATGACAGTACATGGCTTACATTTGTAGAAAAAACAAATATTTAACAAGTAGCACATTTATAGCTCTCAGTCATTTGCATCAATAACTTAGTCAGTCAGAAACTGAGATTGAGAAAGCAATCTATTTGAGTACATTCTACATCCACTAAAAAAAAAAAAGACAAATGATGATGCCATGCAACAGAAATTTTCCTGAATGTTTATTTTGTAAAATGACAGAAAATAATTCACTGTGGTAGTCATATTCCTAGAAGTGATTATTTATAGTCAGTTCACATCTGGATGTTGATCCAGTAAACTATACTTTCTATACTATCACGTCTTTAGTATTTTGTACAGTCGAGTAACCTAATTTCGTGGAAACCTATTATTCGTGGATTTCCGGAAAGGATTAATAATTTACATGAGCGACCTTGCGCGACCTCCGCATTAGTTTGTTTTAATAAACATGGGTTTTCTCTACAATATCAGCTAGTAGAATGAATCCAGTAGTTGCAAGCAAGGTAAAATGTATTAATGTATACTTTGACAAATACAAAATGGCGGATTTCAGTTATTACCAAACGTCACCATTTTTTATCGGCCGAATTTCCTTATAATCCCTAGCCGTAATCGGAATTCCAAGTGTCGTCTGCTAGAATGTAGTCCAACGAATGAAGTCACGTGATCAAGTAGCGGATTCCGTGTAAGCAGAAAATTTCTATGGAACACAAAGTGGACCATATCCTTATGTTAGGGTTAGGGTTAGGGTTTCAGTGACTTTTAGCAATAAATCACGCTACGTATCTTATTTTGTCAGTCAGTATTTTTTTTTTAAATCGTGGTTCTTTGAAGGAATTGTCACTAGTTATAATGAATTGATATTAAAGATAAATACTAAGAGAAGTTAATTATACCACCCGGTATCCATACAACGTGTTTTTCTAGACTTATTTATAGATCAAACATTGTACACGAAAATAGGTGAAGCATTCTGCCGCCGTTGCCGAGTTGGTTGCTCATGAAATATGGGTCAAAGTGAAGAATTCATAAAGAAAATCGAAACAAACCAATTTTAATTATTTTGTAGAATATCTGAGGAAACATCTAAGACATAAAAAAATTTTTTAGTTTTTTTAACTTTCACGAAATTCGGTGCTGAATCCTTATATCCACGAAAATAGGTTACACCACTGTAATTGTTGTAAGCTTCGATGCTTCTAGACCACACAAATTATGACTTGGACATATGAGTCAGAGTGCATTTGCTTATTGTAGGAATGTCACTTACAGTTATACAGACTCAAGTGAATGTATCTTTTAAGGTAATGTATCCTTTAAGTTAATGTATCTTTTAAGTTATGTATCTTTTAAGTGAATGTACAATAATTTATTTCTAGGTAAAGATTATTATTTAAATATTTACACTAAAGAAAGTCAGTGGGAAATACCTACAAGACCAGCTCAAGACAAGATGAGTCAAGTTAAATGTTCCCATTTATTAGTTAAACACAATAAATCACGAAGACCAGCCAATTTTAAAGGAGAAACAATAACCCGTAGTAAAGAAGAAGCTCTTGATCTCTTAAGAGGTTTGTAGGATTGTTTGTTGATTGAAATTTTTATTACATTTAAGGAACCATCATGTATAACAGTTAGCATATTGTAGCAAGATCTCAATGGCTGTCTACATGTTTCAAATGAAAATATCTGTTGCAAACTTTGTGGAGAAGGTTTTATAAATAATAAATGATAGGTGATTGCAGCTCGCTGAAAAAAACTTATTATTAATTATTCAGGAGCTCAGCTGACTTCACATGAGATAGAGTATAAATTATACCATTTCCTGATGGTGATATTTGATTTTCAGTTACGTATTTGGAATTTGATGTTTTATTTTTTTTATCTTTTAAGGTTATATGCAACAAATCAAAGATGGAGCCAATTTTAGTGAACTAGCAGAAGCCCACAGTGACTGTTCTTCTGCTAAGAAGGGAGGAGACCTGGGATTTTTCGGTCGTAATCAAATGCAGAAACCATTTGAAGAAGCATCATTTGCTTTAGAGGTTGGTGAACTCAGTGACATTGTAGATACTGATTCAGGTGTTCATGTTATATTAAGAACAGCCTGAAAAAGTTTTTTGTCATCTTTCATCAATTTTATGTTCAAGCTCATTATCACTGTTTGTGTTACATATGGTCAAAAACAAAATCTATTTGATAGTGTTACAGTGTGACCAAATCATTCACTTAACCAATTGTTAAGGGTATAATTTTTTTTTGGTCTTCTCATTTAATTGCAGGCAATGTCTTTCTGGAGAGTGAGAAAAATGAGCCAAATTATAAGGCACCTTTTTTGTTTTGTTTTGGGGCATAATCACTTTTTATCATTGTTTTGTTATATTTGTCAGATATTGAGAATATTTGTCACAATCATTGATTTTCTTATTAGTGCTAAATTCATCACCTCATCTAGAGTTATATATGTACTGTACTATTATGGGTAATCATGACAAATGTGTCCATGAAAAATAAAAGTTTTCATAATGTTGTGTAGTCATTGTTTCTGATTCTTATTGCATTATGGCATGAATACTTAAGGTGACTTCCAATAAGGAAAGAAAGGCCTACTTGATATGTATCTAACAGGAACTCTACTCACAAATTTTCAAAAATGGGTTCAACACTGATAATATCTAATGTCTGGTTATGATTCATGTCACATGTTTTTATCTGTACTATTCATACACTTTGTAGCAATATTGAGGAAAATATAGAAATAATTATCCTTGCAAGGAAAATGCAGCATTTTTATTAATGTAGAGGATCATATCAATTTTAAATTTGAATCGGTCTTGAAATTGATGAATTTGAAAAATTGAAGCGTAAGCTTATTGTATACAACAATTATCTTCTTTTACTCTTTTTGGTGAATGATTATTCTTTTATTTGAGATATTTGTTCTCTTCATGACTTCATGTTGGAAAATTTCATCGACGAAATGCTATACCGGGCTGAGATTAGTCTACACATTCAACTAGCATACAGATTCGGGTTGAATTGTCTCGGCATACACATTCGCGGCAAATCAACCCGATATGAAATCTTAAATATTGTTAAAATAACATAAATTTTTTTATGACAAATACACATAAGAATTCTTTCAATTTCGCAAACACGTATATGTCTAACTCTCTTAGTCTTTGTACTGTGGCCCATATAAGACATAATTTTTTTTTATGGAAGCTGAAAATTACCAAAGTTAAACAGCAAATTAAAAGGCGTAGCCGTCGTAGGAACTTTTTTGAAATTCATACCATACTATCTCACACTAGCCCTCATTCGAAATATCAAATCACCAAGTTGCTGTCTCCCTTACTTTTTATGTACAGGTTTGACGCACAACTTACTTTGTTCTGTTGTTGAATCTTTAAGTTTTAACATGAGTTCTTTCACAAAATCACTTGCATTAATGTTTTCCTTTGATTCTAAAATTTCGTTAGCAAGAACACGTATGGTTTTAGCAACAGTTTCAACTTCCTCTTCAATGTAAATATTTTCAATATCAGGATTAACCGCATAATTGCCTAACAATAAAGTGCAACAAGGCAACGCAATGTTTGCAATACCCTCGTAGACCTGCTGGATAATTGCAGTAAACTCTTTCCACTTTTCCCCGGTCTCTTCTGAAGGACTGTCCATACACTACATGGTGCTTGTGTCTTTTGTCGAGCAATAATACCCTTTACATAGCAGTAAGATATATTTGCTGATTCGATGGTATTCAACTCCAGTAACATGTCCAGATAAGTATAAACTTTCTCCTTCTTTTGTTGATTTTGATCCTTTCGTCGGAACATTATGGATCTCAGCACCTGTAAAATTAATTCAGTTTATACATATACATGTATAATATATCATAGAGTAGTTTATTGAGGAAACAAATCACGAATTTGCATGAGTGTAAACTAGACACACCTGCTTTGTTCTTTATTTGCACACAAGACAAGCCAAGAGGCGGGACCTATTTATACGAGGTGAATCAATCTACCGAAGTGATTGATTGCTTAATACCCCAGTCCCCAATCATGTTAATCAGGTAAGCAAAACACTGTCAATTGCTGTAGGCATCTTGTAACTCACATGAGTTCTCTTTGGAGCAACACACGTTTTGTTAATTGCCAGTTCATACATTTTGTTTTAACTTAAACATAAATAATTGTGAAGTCTATTCTACTTGACTAGAATGAATAGAATCATGATACAAACATAATAATCAAATAATAATACTGGATACAAGTCAGAAGGAACAGTAGTGGAACAATTTTACCTTAAAATAACAATAAAATCTATCTGTTTAAGGTTGTGAAATTAGACTCGGTCTCCAGAGTCTGATATCAGTAGGCCTACTATAGTAATAAATACTTACACAGTTTTATATCATCTTCTACATCTGAGACTGATGTATTCGGAAAATTTATTTAGTTTTTCTCCCACCCAGCTAATATTTTTACAGGATCGGGAAGCTTAATCAAACCATCTTCCAAAATAAATTTACTCTTTCTTTCTTTTATCACTTTCTGGAGATCATCTTCAACAGGAGTTTTAAGCAGAATATTTCTGCTCTCGGCAATAGATGCTAGCACATCATGTCTATCTTCCTTATTTCTACTGGCGTATGAGATTCCCCGAAAAACTTCCAATTCATCTCGCTTCAACACAGCTACGTCTTTCATATCGCTCATTATTCTATTCCATTTCTGTTTACATTATGGCGGAACTCTAATGACGCTTACTATCCCACAATGTAACGCAATTTTAAGCAGATGCGCTCTATCCATAAAGTAGTCTATAGGAGGTCAAAATATCCTACAGCAAGTTAAGGCAGCTTAAGTTTAACCGGTCGCGTTTAGATGACCGGTTTTAAATATGGGTGTTTATGTGGTCATCTTAATTTCATTTATGTATGAATTTGAAAGTTTAAATTAAATCGGCTTTACCCATATTTCTACAAGCAATAATAACATGACCTCCCATACGAGCTATTTCTCTGGCAGCAATGTATCCAATACCTGCAAAACAAATACATGTATACAAGTACGAAGTACAACACGACGATTAAATCGTCCAAAACCGATCATAACTGTCGCAAGTACAAAGATAGCTTGCCAGACAAGGTAACATATGCCCACTACCAGCTGTCAGAAATGATAACTAAGTCGTTAGTGACTTTGTAATGAATTTTCAAATAATCTTTAAAATATTTTAAAGTCAAGACAAAACCTCAAAAACAGTTCATCCAAATTATAATCAAATTCAATCATGAACAAAGTCCCATCATTGTACACACAACGGCAATGGCTCTTAAACCTTTCATCTGATTATCACCGATTTCGAAATTAACTGAGATCTTATCAATATATACATCCATATCAAGTTTCATCAAGATTGGATAAAAATGCGAACAGACAGACAAGGTTTTCATTATAATATGAGCGTTTTTCCAACCAATGTTTTCAGCCTTACAATCATAGTCTTACCGATTGTTTGTAGTTTGAGGCATGTAAATAATTCAGTGATTAGCACAATTTTACTAAATGAATGGGGTTTTACGTCCTACTTTTCTGCACCATCTGGGCTACTGAAGACGGGTAACGCCATGCAGGGTACAATGAGGGAAATTTTGTCAGGATAGCGGCTTTAGCCTGCTCTTTTTCAATAGCACTGAGTATTCAAAACTGCTAGAGGGTGACAGATGATTCGAATAAACCCACCTTTACTTCCATGCATCAAGATTTTGAGGATCTTAAACGAGGGTCATAAACCTTGATGTGCAGCATTCAGCATTACCTAAAACACATGTTAAGGTCAAATTGTCATATTGGACAAAGAAACTATGATTCTAATTAAAGTTATTATTATGAAAACATATAGACAAGTGTGACCCTTGTGTCAGTGTTGTCTGTACCAATAGGGGTTAACATATTTAAAGCCCATTTACACGGGCCTTAGACGTCTGTGGCTTTAACTCTCCTTAGAATGTGATCTAGTGTTCACTGCTTGGCAATCATTCCACTTTAAGACATGTATCATAACACAAGGGCAACAGTATACTATCGCAAAACTATGTAATAGACAAATTGTAACATTTTATCTTCAAAGTTTTAACATTCAATCAGACGTCTGTTGTTCCTGAAATTCCACTAAAACTGTGTTTGATGACTACTATGTATAATTTTGAAAAATGAAGTACATATTTGGCCTGATTAGCATGTTTAGAATTCATTACAAAATAGTTTGAGGTTGTTTCCTGGTCATTTTTTTTTGGCTTGACTCCTGGTCGTTTCATGTTTTCTTTGGTAGTTTCCTTGTCGTTTCATGTTTTCTTTGGTCGTTTGGTCAACTCAAGTTTTAGAAAGTAAGAAAGTTCCATACAGAATCAAAGCATACAGATCATTGCCTGTTTTCATTTTAGACAAGATTTTATCAATTTACAACTTTACAATAGCAACAACTCTCCACCTCTAAACACTCTAAATTTGTAAATGATACTGCTAAATAGATGAATATTTCAATCCTTTTGCCAAAAAAACTTATCACCACTGCTCTCTCTGTCTATAGCTTTTAGATAACTAGTAGAAATGATAGAGTAACCACTTTGACTAAATTGGGCAAAAGATTATTACAAAAATATACCACAAAACAGTCAAATTGGTCGTGAATGTATCCAACCTGTATAGGATAGGACTCTTGCTTGCAATCTAAAAGCTATTAACTGGTGAAGATCATCCAAAAACATAAACCATATTGAAAGAGGATAATCAGAACCTTCCCAAAACACAATTTTAACTCAGCCTGTGATTTTACTACTTTAAAAACTGCTGACAACGTTGTAAATAAAGCATGAACCACAATGACGAAATTGGGCAGGAAGTATAAATAACCTGCCACAAAATAGTCAAAGCGGTCTTTGCTCCACCATCTCTCATCCATTGCACCATCATACTGGTTGTCTGGTACCTATAGAAACCGTGCAAAGACCATATTGGGACTAACATTTGTATCAAATTGTGGCCAATCAAAAAAGATATGTCAACGTGTTGAAAAATACCTAGTAGGCTACTAGAAATAG